TCTTCTTCCTTTTTATATAAACAACTAAGAAATGACTTTTTGAGTTGTAGCAAATGAACAATTATGTGTTTGTTACATTTAATATAAATATATATGTTAAAAAAACATACTCATGTATGGAGTATAAACTATTGTAAGATCCAGGGACTGTCCATCTGGTACTCTTTCCTTGGAAATGAATATTTCGGTTTCTATCATAGCAGAGTCCGATCGAATAGACCACAGTTTCGATTTTTTAACAGGATCGTATTCCGCATATATGTCATAATTAGGTGACCGGCTATCATTTATGTTACCCAAATTGTCTTCAGGCTCAGGAACCGGAAGGTACATTGTCTGGCTGCGGTCTATCTCTCCACAGAACTTGCTTGTGTAAAAACCATCGCTCCTCTTGAACTAATAAAATGTTTATCAAGAATCTGATACGAGAACTAATTCTAATTGTATTTAAACCTGTTTTTTTCCATACTCCAGGACTGAACTTCTTGCATGATTCATCTCTTTCTTCTCAATGTGAAAAGAAAAAGAAAAAAGCTAAACTGTGCAAGAGAAGTTCAGTTCAGGAGTATGAAAAAAGAATAAGCCTTGCATTCACTTACCCGTATGTAATCAACACACCGATCGCCGTCGCGACGAAGAAACATCTTCTGAACAACTGCGAAGAGGCCCTCGTTTTTGCCAGTCCGGAAAACGAACGTACAATTGCGATTGGCCTTGACGACCCAGTGATCGAACATGTGATGCGGCATGACGATCGCCGCGGCACCGTGTTGCATGTCGAGCATGTGCTTCTTGTTCAGGACATGGCATATCTTTTCGTTCTCGAGGCTATCTACGTAAACATGCAGAAGTGAGGTTAAACGAGAAAGAAAAGAATCTTCTAAACGATTACTCGCGACTTACATTCGACGTAATGATTGTAATCATAACTGCCGTAACGCGCGCACGAGCACAGGTGCGCGATCACGATCAGCAGGTAGACGACGCCTGCGTCCCGGGCCATCTTCGGGTCGCGACCGCGCAGAGCTGGGTGTCACAGGGCCATACAGGTGACAGGACAGGATGCGCGAGGAACGGGATCAGGTCTCGCGAGCACCGACGATGAGGAACACCGTACGAAATACCGCGGCGAGGAGCGCCGAAATTATTTTCGTGAAGCCGGAGTCCGGAGCGGATTGCGTGATGTCGTTACGCGAGATGCGTCATGCCGTCACCCGTCCGTCATTCCGTCCCCCCACGGGGGTGACCAAACAAGTCCCGACGAAAGTCGACCGACGCCACTGCTTGCCTTCGAGCACCTTCGAGAGGGCAGACATCGATCGCGCGATCGAGACCTCGACGAGAGGGCCCTGTCTCGCTTCTCGGCGAGCGAAAGAAAGAGAGATAGAAAGATCGTTTGATAATCGAATAGAAACGAAAAAAATGCTATACGAAGAGAATAAAAAAATCCACGTGGACTTCGGCGAGGTAGAAACGGGCGCCACAACTATCAAGTGTCTGGAGATAGTTAACGAAAGTTGCGTTAGTGTCCAACTTCTTGTCTACATTTAATACATGTTTCTATCAATGTAGATTAATTATAATAATTAACTTATCTTTATTTTGATTCTTCTCTGGTTTTGAGAATTAGAAAAAGATAAAGAGTAAATTAAACCGAGATTCGAAGTTAATCCACATTGACAGGAATGGACACAAAAGCGATTTTGACCAGGTTTTGATTAAATTAAGAGAACGCGCTGAAAATGATCAAAATATTAATTTTTTAGTTTAAAAAGGGAGCGTATTATTTTCTACACATTTTAAACTGTATAAAATGATTTTTTAATATATCTAATGTCTAGTTATAAAAAGGAGGTTGCAATATCAATTAATTTAAAAGAGAATGTGTCTAAAAATCCACTATAATGTGAAAATTTTTAATTCAAAATTAACTAAATTATTTCCCGTATATTTCCAGCTATATAAAATAAGTTTTGGACGTGTTTAAATATTCGACAAGAGGAGGTCAAATATAATCCTTTTGAATGATTAGAAGGAATTATAATAACGAAATAAAAAAAATTGTTTTAAATTTGTACTTTATTTGCTATTTACTTGTAAAACAATTCAGCTCTGTGTAAAGCACTCATATTGACTGATTAATGATGTATTACAGATCGAGCAAATTTACGAGGCTCGAAGAGATTCATCTACCAATCCGCTGGATCACGTGTTTGAATTATGTAGCTACTCTTGGTCTTTACTTCCTCGCCATGCGTACAAGTGCAAAATATACTATCGACCATTCATGCCATTCACTGTAAACGTAGATTACTTTACGATCGTGAATTCAGCTGGCGAACGCGCGGAAATCCAAGTCCGCGGAACGTGCATTGGTACGGAATTCTTTCCAATTAATGATCGTCGGAAAGAATCTTTACTCTTCCTTTCTTAGTTTCTTTCTTTTTAATCTAATTTAGAGGATTATTAGCGTTTTAGAAGGATTGTATTAAAAGTCCGAAAGTTTAATCGGCGTGTAATCATATCTGAAGTAAATTTGATTTAATAAAAGTACTTAATATAGTATTCGAAACATCTAACTTTGATCAATCAAGGCATTCTCTATCGTACTTTATGTATTCATCAATACAATCATTGTTATAAGTCTTGATTGTCTTTAACCTTTATTGCCACACACTTGGACATATCCAACCCAATTCAATTACTTATAATTTTCATAAAAATGAATTATATTGTAACAATTTTTTTTTATCAAAAGCCAGATTAAGGAATATAATGATAGCATTATGTATTATCTTTATTAATGAAAAAAATTACAAAAAAAAACATTAGAAAAGGAAAACCGGACATACCATTGCATATCTAAAATAGCACAGAAGACTTAAAAGAATCTTGTAGTTAAAGTTTTCCAATCTCTGAAAGTTTTTATAATAAATTCTTTTGGAGTAAAAATAATTGATGGAGTTTATCAGAAGCGTCTCAGAAATTGATAATTGAATTCTATTATTTAAAAAATTTCTTAATTTTAATATTGAGCACTCGATTATACCTTCATCAATTTTATTGCTTTTTATTTTGTGGAGTTGATCAGCTTGGCTTCTGAGAGACTCCATCAATCATTTGTACTTCAAGAGAATATATCATCGAGAGTTTTCAAAATTTAACACAAGCTTCACCTAACAAGCTTCACCTAACTACAAAAGATCTTGCTCAATTGTTAAAGTGCAACAAATCTCAACAGAAGTATTTAAAAAGAGATAATTACGATCTTATATTTCCGTTGAAAAGCATATGTCATCCAAGGCTTTTAAATAAATTCAGATACGGACAATGTTTAATTTAAGTTATAAGTCATTAATTATCCACACGTGTTCTGAAATTGACAATATTTATGATGATTGTTTCCGTCATCGTATGACGTTAATTATTAATCATTTACGCACGCAAGATCTGTATGGCATTAATTGTTAATCATTTACGCACGCAGGACCCGTGGTTTCCTCATCCGTCACGAGATTAGTCATGATGTGTATAAACGAGAATCGTGAGGTGAAAAAACGAATTAGATTTGTCAATGATTCGAAAGTCACGGCGACTTTCATGTTTGACTCATTTCGAAGGCCGTTTGAAGCAAATCTGCGTCACGGACGCATTGAGCCCAATTCTCACAAATTCGTAACAATTACTTTTGCACCACGGGAAAACGGGATCTACACGTGTCATTTTCCATGCTTAATCCTGAATCACGTAATGGGAAAATTTGAATTTTTAAAAAGAACGCAATCCTTGTTGCGCACGAAATGTCATACTATTTATAATTATCTGATTTTAGATATTTATCAGACTTTAGTAATTAATTCTATACCAGTTCTGTATTATTTTATTAAAAATAAGTATTTTATGTAAAAAACAAATGGTATGATTTACTTTGTACATTTCATGCGCGTTATCTTTTATTTACGTAATATCTTTTTGACCTACTAAAATATGTAATATTTTTTTGGCCTATACCAAAATATTACGTAATATGTTTGTAGCTCACTAAGATATTTACTATTTAGTCGAAAAAAGTTTACTGCTGTTTCAAACTCCACGTGTCAAGAAAAATGTTTCACATACTTACGTGACATATTCACGATGATTCATTTTTACAGAAACCGATTATCATAGAATTATACGGCTACTGCACAGCGTTGCGTAAAACGAGCACACAGACCCGTTTTAATTATCCTACGAGATTAAAAAATGGCTTCGAAAGATACACAAGCGATACTGTTGTTGCCACGCAAAATCTTCCTACGGTTTCTTCGTCAAAAAATTGTATCGACTTCGGTCAGGCCAATATAGAGGCGGAAAACGCTGAGCGAAAAATTCCGGAAACCCTGTGTCTTACTAATCACAGCCAGTCCAATGTATTAATTAAATGGGACCAAGGTTATTGTTTATCAAATCAATATACGTTATTATTAGCGCTTTATTTTACTTATTACTTATCTCTTTACCTTCTTATCTTACCTTTTCAACTCCTTAGATTTTTATTTGTAAATTTGTTTTAAGAACATAGAAATTAAAATTAAATATTGCTAATATAAGCACATAGACCTATTCTTCTGTCAACAATTAATTAATTAGATAATTTTGTATATAGATGTTGAAGGAATTTTCAATATAACACCCACTAGCATGAGAATACCGGCGAACCAGACGGCTCTGTTTGAAGTCGCGTTTAATCCCAATCGAACAAGCAGTTTCTTTGCAAGAGATCTCGTTGGAGATGTTTTTGTCAAGCCGCAAGAAGATAGAGAAGAAACTCTGACATTCCCTGCAATCACAACCGTGCGGCTAATAGGTGCGTATTCTCTTTCTATATCTATCTTTTACGTTTACATAACGCCACTCTTACCTAATTCCTTTTTTTACGTAGGTCACTCCTTTCCCGTTTGCTCCGATGGTTGGATTCCTCAGTATGAGATACCTCACGTAGTTAAGATGCCTCCTTGTGTACCTTCATCGCCGACATACGCCACATTTCTAATACGAAGATACGGGCATTTACCGTTGATGTATCGCTTTGTATCGCCAGCATCGAGTCACTTTGTTGTGAAGCCGATGATGGGCATAATTCATCAGTATTTGCATTTAATATTTTATATGATCCTAATTGCTCGAATCTGGCGTGAAGTCTCGTCGCAAAAGCGCGCCGCACGTATCACATAAATAACATTAGTTAAAAAAAAAAATGTTTTTTAAATTATTTTCATTAGATAAGCATCGTTATCCAAAAATTTATAAAAGAGAAACACTATATCTAGTTCGAAATAATTTTTTACTGTAAACTGTAGTGTAATTTATAATGATATCATATTACCTTTACATTTGTTTTACATGACGTTTATATTTATTTTATTTTTTAAAAAGCATGACGTTACATGACGTTTATATTTATTTTATTTTTTGAAATAATTTATATTGGTATTCTGCGTTCAATATCATTTTCAATTTCTATCCGTCAATGATGCATTGTGATCCTTTTCAGAGATTATCAGATCATTGCAGTCTGCATGTTACCCGGAAACGACGATAAACGGGTTTATATGGAACGATGGGCGATACGTTTCAATGGAAATATGAAATCGGAATGTTTCATAGATTTTCAGGGATACACCGAAAATGCGAATGTCAGTTTTAGTAATCAGAATACCGTGAATTTCGCATCGACGTTTCCAGGCTGTCAAAGTCTGCAGCAGTTTTATATGCGAAACATCACTCGACATGTAATAAAGTAAATTTCTGTGATATTAATATTAATTTCGTAGATTACATATTAATATTTAGTAATAACAACAAAAACTAATTACATAACGAAACACTGTATAAAGCAATGAAAACAATATGCATTGTCAAAATTCCTTTAATGTGGTTGCCGTGAGTTAATTAAGTTTCAAAGATATAAAAACTATATTTTAATTATATCTCTAATAAAAAAGAAATTATATTTCTATTATAAAAATTAATTAAAATATTTCTAAGAGAGTAGACTGTCAGTTTATTGTTGTGATTGTCTTTGATTAACACCAATTTTTTAGTTATGAATTCATTAATGTGACACCTGAACTTCAAATACGAAATGAAAATGGCAAAATTTACTCAAACGATATAATTACTCACAAATGGTTATTTTGTCCTACAACACTTGGAGATTACGAATTTGACATAAACTGTATATTGGCCGTACTGAAAGATGGAACTCCCGTTGGCCCTAGCGTCTGCGTAACATTACATGTAACAGGAAAATGCGAATCTGGTGTTCTTGTGGTAAATTAATAAATAAATAATAAAAACAATAGCAAAATATAAAAGAAAAAATTAATAATTTTTAAAAATAATAATGAAATATAATAATAAAAATTTTATAGTACAAAATTTTTTAATAATGTATATTATTGTTTTCCAGTCAGAGCCAGATGAATTAAATTTTGAAATTCAGGCATACAAAGATACGAAAGAATTAAGTTTTCACGTATTTAACTTGAGTCCCGTAAACATCTATTACAAAATGACATGTATTCATTGCAATTGGCCAATTGGAAATTTAGAATGTGATGTAAAAATACATCCGACTGCGGACACTGTTGTTGCCGGGAAAGATAAAATCATTACTGTTATTATCACACCTACTACTCCGGGATTTTACGAATTTTTTATTCAGTATTTTGTAAGGATAAGCTCTGATATAAACACAGATTTAATTCCAAATCAGATTCCGAGGAACATTTGTACAGTGCGCTGTTTATGTGTATTGCCTACTTTGAAGGTAAAATGCTGTGTGCACACATTATTTTAAATGCGTTTTCCAATAGAAGCTCATTTTTTTAAATAATAATTCGACGGAACATATAATAGTAATAAATATATAAATGCCCATTTCTTTTTAAACAATAGGTGACAGATTTGCAATGTTACGGATTTTACCCAGACATGAGCAAAGATTTACTTTGGAAGCTGATGAAAATAAACATGTACCTACATAGAATTTCTTATTATTTTTTCGATATAAACATAATTTAATATTTTAACCATGTGTGTATGGCCTAATTTATACAATGCTTTTTTACTAATAGCAACTAGCGTGCTAGTCTTCTAGCGTGAACAGTTAAAAAAATATAATTCTATTTATTTATTTTTTTTTTTTAGAATACTAACAATTAAAAAATATAATTTATAGAATTCTAGTTTGTTAGAAGACTAGCACGCTAGTTGCTAGTAAAAAAGTAAAATTATATAAATCAGGTCTGCACATGCGTTTCTAGGCTCAACATATTACTCGAAGATTTGCAACCGGAGACATCGGAAACGTTTTACATAAATTTTCCAGCAATGATTTTACATAATCCAAAGGTTATTGTAAAATTACTTCTAACAAACATAGCTACAATGAGTGCTTCGTGGAATATCAAAAAAGTGCAGCTCTGTTCTTGTCGGCCAGTTGTAAATACTCAAGGCTGTCTCAAATTTCAACGTGCAAAGTACAATTGCTTGCATAGGAAAGTGTGTTCTATACAGCCAAAAACGGGAAATCTTAAAGTATAAATAAGCTATAATTTTATGATGTTACAGTAACTTCTTCTATTGTTATTTTATTATCACTATTATTAATTTATCATTTTAATAAAATGCAGCCAAGAGAAGAGATCTGGATAACACTAGAGCTGCATTATTTATTATTAGGCCAGACCGAGACAAAGTGGGACTTAGATCTCGGAGACAATCGTCACATTTTTTTCATTATGATAATTGAATGTTTATCTGATTCTGATAATAAGCTCCAGCTTTTAAACGGCACACATTTCAAATTCCAACAAGTTTATTTTGGAGAAAAAGATCCTATCTACGAGGTTATTTTTAGTTTTAACATTTAAACATACAATAACGTCCATAACGTGAAAATTTTTCAGGTGTGTTGGGTGCATAATAGTACAAATCACAGCATCCCGTTTTCTATAAATCCAAGAACGATGTACGAAATAAATCAGGAGTATTGCTATAAAGTTTTTTCCTGTGAGACTCCATATGCAATCGCGAATCCGCAAACTTCTGTTCCGATCCTTTTAAAATTTCAACCAAGGAAATTCGGCATATTTAAAGTACATATATAACAAATTTAACACTAGCTATACACACTAGGGTTCCAGAAATTCTAATGCAATTTGCTAAATAAAGATTTTTTGTTTTTTTTTTTTTGAACGTATATATCTCCTTAATTCTATCGACTTTTACACATTACGGATCTATTCCTTAATCAATTCTCCGATTGAAAAAAAATTAATTAAAATATGTTCATTTTTAGGGAAATTACGATAACAAATATAGGTGGGGTCTTATGGACCCCCCGAGTATGTATAGCTAGGGTTAATAGATAAAATTAATGAATAAATTTTTTCAAATAAAAATTTATATATCTCTCTATCGTTAGGGGAAATTGCGTTTGACTTTGGGTGACAGAGAAGAAGAACTGACACTCGAAGGCGAATCCTCCTTGCCATATAGACCAGAAACAAGTAGAGAATATATTCCTTGCGAACAAAGCTTCGAAGATCAAGATATTCCCATATACTTTAGTACTGACTGCATAAATGTTTCTCACATAGCTACGCACAGCCATGTAGTTAAGATAATCATGATACATAATAATTTGATGCACGACGTACTCGCCTACGAATGGAAAAGGTTTGCTTGAATTAAGCTATATGGATTGTGAAATAAATTATTGAACTGAAAACTGTTTTCTGAATTGAATTAATATTTCTGCATTACTCTATCAGACGTGAAATATCTGAAATAATTCATGTGGAGATTTATCCGCTAAAAGGCTTAATAAAGCCAAAAGCTGTCAAAAGCTTCCATGTAACTATATATACTAAAAGCTACCCTTGCATGATTGATATTAATATACCGTGCGAATTTATTAATGCTAGTCAAAGGCGGATCTATCAACGAAGTGTATACATTCTCGAAGGCTTGTCTCAGGAACTGAAAGGACAGTTTACTATTACGGAAAAAGGCATTAGCGTTCCAGTAAATAAAATATATAAATTTCTCTCGCAAAATGTTAAGACTTTAAAATGATTTAAGGAAATTTTAATATAAAACTCGTAGAAAAGGAAGTCTGTTTTATGTAAAAATAAAAGTTTTTCTTTAAATTTATGTACTCTTTTGCCTCTAGGAATTACCGGTAAAAATCTTAGAAAAACCTCAGCCATTTTACAAAGCCATAACAATTCGATGTTCTATCTATAGCATAGAAGACAAATTTCTGAAAGTTAGTCTAATGAAAGAATTAACAAGTGCGCCGCCAAAAGGAATATGCATTGAGGAAAATGAGAGAACGATGACATTCAAGAAAAAAGATATTAGTCGGTCTTCGTTTATTATAGAAGGTCTACTATGGTAAATCACTTACTTTTCAAATATTATAATAATAGCGACAACAGAGTAGATTAATTTACTTATAAAATAAATGTATTTTAATGATACATTTCGTTACATTTTAGGGAAATAATCAACAGTAAATTGTTCAGAGACATAATGCAAGATACTTTAAGGGAAAAATCAAATTTATTTTACTCACAATTTAGAATGAATTTCTGCGAAAGAAAAAAACTGATACAGAGATCGTACATTTTACCGCCGCGAGCGTTAATTAATCGTATACTTGAAGAGGTAGGATTTTATGCCCGAGAGTGAAGGTGGCAAAGTAAACAGCGAACTGGTCTACAATGCTTAGAGATCCTGAGTTTGATTCCCGGCGACACCAAAAAAAAAAATATTTTCATTATACCCTCGTATCTCCTCTCGGGAGGCAATGGCAAATCATCTAAGGCCCAAGAAGGATGTTGAAAAGAGACCGATTTTTGCCCATAAAGGCGTAAGCAAAGGGAATAGCGGTTTTTGTAATATTGTAAAAATATTAATAAAAATTCGGGATCGATGATAAAGCAACACCTTAAAAATTGAGTATGAACATGATATATTTGAACAAATTTCAATATTCTTACTTACCTTTTCAAGCTACTCCCCAAGTGCCACAAACTTTTTAATAATTTTATCATATTCAAGAAGTCAAAATCTACAAAAAACACTATTTCTTTTACTTACATCTTTTTAGGCAAAAATCTATCCTTTTTTTGAGAAATATTAAAAAAGTCCGATTTTGTCTAAAAGAATGTAAATAAAAGAAATAGTAAGTAATAGAATAGAGTACCTTGAAAAGGTAGGTAAGAATATTGAAATTTGTTCAAACATATCTTATTCATGCTCAATTTTCAAGGTGTTTTCTAGCGATCCCGAATTTTTTATTAATATTATCGTATTCAGGACGTCAAAATCTATAACAAAACGCTATTCCTTTTACTTACATATGTGTAAAAATCGGCCTCTTTTTAACATCCTCCTTTCGTTCAGAATCGAGATTAAATGTAGGACCCATATGACAGTGTACGCATCACAGGCACATGATAGAGAAGTTACCAGCTAGGACTTATCTTCTTGTGTGCAGTTGAGTTGATAAGCGTTACCGATAATCGACAACGCTTTGGGATATGGCACGTTCTAAGGCATATAAAAACTTGACCCTCCGTACCAACAATGCCACTGAGAGAGTCAATAGGCAGATCGATAAAAAAATGGTCAGAAAAGAGCATTCTGCGATCAGAATATTAAAAAAAAATGAAAAAACAAAAAATCTTTATTTAGCAAATTGTACTGGGATTTCTGGAATCCCAATGTGTATAGCTAGGGTTAAATTTATTATATATTTAATGTCTTAAGTAATGTCTTATATACTTCAAATATGCCGAATTTCCTTGGTTAAAATTTTAAAAGGATTGGATTTTTAGGATTCGATATTTATCAAAAGAATATTAATTATCTTTATTTTGCAGATGTTATTCATCATAATGCACGAAGAATTCTCTTTAAAGACTGCACATTTAATTCAGCACACAGATATTAGACATATAGACTACTTGAACATGGTACCTAGCACAAGAAGGAAAAAGTCAATTAGACGAGGTATATTAGGAAATATATTTTATCTTGAAAAAATAATCATTAATCTTCTTATTTCTTGCAACTCGTTTTAGAAACGACATTGTTACAAGACAAATCTCCTTCTATGCCAAAAGTAGTATCCTCATCCAGAATATCCTTCGCCGTTTAATCATATATAACAGCCGGAAAATTATATGTAATTGTTGCTAGCTATTAGCTAATGATCGTTGTATAAGGATCTGCGATCCTTCTGAACACTGCCAGAAATTTGTCTCCTTCTTTTCTGGTGACTTTCTTACCTTCCTCAGTGCTTTCGTATAATTTTTCCACTACAGGATCTGCTGCCTGTCTCGGTAAAATTTGTTAGTGTTACTATTATATAAAGAAAAAAGAAATAAATACAGTTGTACTTACCAAATCCTGCTTGGAAACTTCTTCGAACAGTGAATGTTGTTGGAAATGTTGAACTATCCATTTATGTACATCTTCTACATCCGTTATAGTATATACAATAGCCTATGTAATAATAATTTAAACAATGAATTCTTGTAGAAGTAATATATAACAAATACTATAGCGATATTTATAGCCTATTTTTATATTTAAGATTGATCTTAAGTATGATCTTAGAATGTCATAAATCAATCTTAGAGCCACACATATTATCATCTTAAGACATTACTTAAAATGACTTTAAAATAAGAATGATTATAAATACTAGATTATGAATACTAGCCTATAATAAATTCGATAAGTAGAAATAATATAAAGTATAAATGATATTTACTCCCTCGGCTAAAACATAAGCATATTCTGCCAGTAGAGACTTATTTATTATCCTCCATTTATATTTCTTCTTCTTGTAGTGTGGATCTGGATATAGGAAAAACATCTTCTTTAACTACATAAATAAAAAGATACAGATTAATGTGTAAACTATTCTATCCTTTAATGTATATCAACAATTCCTTCTATTTACCTGTCCTTTATAGAAATAATTTGGCAGGTACTTCATGGCGTTTGTTCTTAAACAGGCAATGTTCTGGTACTGGCCAGGATTTTGTGATCGTAAGGCAGCAATGCGATCTATAACGTAGTCTGCTACTTTCACTCTGATTTCCATACCGAGTATCAAATTATCCGGGAACATTGATGACAGAGTAACTGAGGATTAATTTGTCAATTATTTTAATTTTCTGGTTTTTACATTCTTTTATAAATTATCTGGTAGAAATTAAACAGTAGTCATTCTGCCGCCTCACAATTTATGTATATATTTTTTCATTTCTATATAACATTCGTAATATCATTCATATAAATCTTGTTTGTATACGTAATAGATTAAATTAAATATATTAAAGAGAAAAGAAGGAACAAATTACCCAGCAATCCTCCATAGCCACAACCAATGTCTGCAAATTCTACACGTTTCTGTGTTTCTAGTGTCTGCTCATCATTATTCCGAAAATACTGTGGATATAAGGTGCTCCAATTCATTAACTCTGGTTTTATCGGACTGCAATGAGTAAATGGCAAACGGTAATGATAATTGTTGTAATCTTATAACTATAATTAGTTATTAATTGTTATAACGAAAAATGTATGGAAAACTACTCACTAGTCAATGCAATGATCGGCTGTCGGATTCGCATGCGCACGTTGTCTATAATATTTCTTTTGCGGTAATGCCAGCGTCATGATTATGATATTGCTAAATATTTTTAAGTCGAAGGAACACTGAAAGTCTGTAAAACGTGTTATTCTACCTTTACCAATGCAACGTGTCAAAACATGAATATATTTTAAAAGGTTATATCGAACCAATAACACACATCTCTTTTAATCGCTGTATTTTGTTCCAGCGTTCCAAAGAAATTATATTCTAGCACTTCGGAAATAAAAAAAAACAGAGTGTAATTAAGAAAGACCGATTTTTTTTAAAAATATTTAGACCAAAACGAGAATGCAAGAAAGAATGAACGCAGGAATGTACAGAAAGAACGGCTTAATTAAAAGCACTCAACAATGTAATGAATCTGTTATCCTTACCTACCACGAGTTGCTAATAACGAAGGCCTGAATATGGATCTTTTTATTTGTGTATTTTTCAAATCTATATATATATATATATAGTATTTGTATATACATTTGTTACATACCTGTATACCTGTATATTTGAAGTGCAGAGAAAGTGCGGCGCACGTGCGCGGGATGATCAGCTGATCGAGCGCGCCACCTGTGCCGTCTGGCGGACGACGGTGGCACTAATGCATAACGCGGCGTGAAAGAAAGACAATAGACATGTCTTTGCGCACAGTGTGAGATTCTCTCTTTTGTTATATTGTGGATGCGTCGTCATCGTCTTCCTCCGTTGCCGCCGCGCGGCCTTGCAATGTGTCAGTGAAACATGTAATCGCGGGCGGGAACCGTGGTTCACTTATGTAACGCACGACGCGGGTCGACGCCGGCTTTGGAGAGCGGTGGACTCCTCGGGGGAATCCCTCTACCCAGGTGAGGTTAGGATCTCGCAGCTCCGTTCCTGCGACATTGCTTCTTTGTGTCTTGTTTCTGCTGAGGTCCGCGATGAATCAAGATATATACTCGCGTACTTACGTCATCCTACGCGGACGCATCTTTGTCCTTTGCGAATGTTTTGTGTATTCAGACAAGAAAACGAGTTAGAAATGACTGTGTCGTTGCGGTGACAGGAAATCGTCTGTCTCCCTGATGACAAGTGTCATTTTTTAGAAATGAGCATCATCCAAATGATATCAAACCAAAACGCTATTCATGATTCATGTCATTAAGTTATTTAATTATACTTATCTGATAAAGATTAAATTTAAGTAAATAGCTAATTATTTCATCACTAGGCGTAAATTCTTTTTAAAATAGCAAAAATGGCGAAGAGAATAGGTGGGAAAGAGGAACACAAAGAGAGAGATATTATTCTGAGAATACAACGAAATCTGTAAATTATATTTGTCCTAATATCTACACTGAAAGAAAACTGTACTAAATAATAAATATTTAATAGTGCTAATTAAATATTTACTAAATGTAAATATATGTATTTGTATTTGGTACAAGGACCATTAATTTCATTCAACTCTTATATTTTTTATTTAGTAAATATTTATTTTCTGTAAATAAATGTTACCTATACAGGACAGATAATTCCAGTAATATTGCAGCAACATTGCAACGTTCCAGAACTATTGTAATAACATTGCAGTAATGTTGCTACAAGCTTTTGTGCTGTATGAGATTATATTAATATATTATTTAAACAATTTTTATTAAAATTCAGTATCTTTTGTTAGTATAATATTGTGAATTGTTGGAAAATGTAGAATAATTATTGTTTAATCTTTAGATATGCTATGTAACTTTCTGAACAGTTATTTAAATCTGTTTTTATTTTTTCAGGCACACGAAAAAGGTTTATTTATTATTCATGACGACATCGAATCTTTTGAGAGAACGCTCTTTCATTTAGTTGGTAAGTCATCATCTTGCTTTTTCACTTATTCGATGCAAGTTAATTCAATTACGTGCAGATGAAAAGAAATCATATTTTAAAAGTAATTATAATCATAAATTTTTTAATTTTAAGAATTTAAGAATTTTAATTTTGCGACGAAATATTCTTTTTTTGGAATTTACTGTCAAAAATATTAATTTAAGAGCTTTATTTATATTTATACATCTAATTTGCACGCTTCAATTATTAGCGTCAATTTTCATAACGCTATTACATTTCTAAATTTTTAGTTTAAAATTTGAGAAGTTGCGGAAAAAAAATAAAGTTCGATAAATTGAATAATAATTATTTTGAATATATATATATATTTATTATAAATTAGAATATTGTGTTAATTTGACATAATAATTAATTGCTATCAATTAATGATTATTTACTATATAATTATTCCTAATTAATATTTATCGTATAGTTACAATAAAAATAATTACCGGTAAAAATGTGATCGGACTCAATAATTGTATATAATTGATCTACTTGCATAAAATTAATACTGATATTTATGTTTGCACTTTATCCATGTAGAAATGTCGTACGATGTATTGATTGCATAAATAGAATGTAGATAAGTTCCAAGAAAATTGCATAATGCGATTGGTATTTACGCTCCAATCGATGATCGTTAAATCGATGAGAATGATTGCTAGTAGATATGTACTTGTCTATACGACAAGTCTATTTTCTCAAACTGCATGTCGATTGATTGATTTGTACCGATGTGAAATATCGAGTGCAAGTCTTATACACGAACTATGGAAAACTGATAGTTTTCATTAGTTATAGCAAAATTAGCGAGTGTATATAGACATAGAATTAATAATTTTGAATATTTAGTAATGTAATGTCTAGAAAAACACACAAATGCAAAGAAACACACTGGAAAAAGAGTTTGGTTGTATTAATTGGAATTAGGTTGAAAATGAACAAATTAGAATTTTCTAATTGAATTTTTATAGTTTTATTATAGTCTAGTTGAAATAACCAGAATATTTATTGATGTAATCAGAATCTTCTGGTTCATTTTTTAATCAGAAAGTTTTCTCAGAATTTAGCTAAAAGAATCGCTGACTAAAAAGCTTATTGCAATAAGCGTTAATTAAATATAAACAGTTAAAACATATTGTGTAGTATTATGGAGCAATAAGTATTTTTTAGATAAAAGATACATAATAAAAAATAAATAAGATAATACTTTTCACGTTTGTTATTATTTATATCACGTTTAATATTATCAAAAATTTTGCATTTGAATGTCGAATTTTTTTATTACGAAGTAAAATGAATGCAAAGATACTATTTTTGAACGAGGCAAATCGTCTTACTTTTACTATTGTGACATAATTGTACGTAACCGTTTGTCGCATTTACACTTGGAGTATAACTTGAGAACCGCTGGTTCATGCGAACCTCGCGTGCCGAATACGACAAAGCCTGCCGAGCGATCGTATGTAAATATGAATCGGATGACATACGACTCTTACTACTCGTCGAAATCGTAATATACAAAACTGTCGCGAAGGAGAATGTTGTACGAAGACGACTCGGAATCCGAATCTAACAATAAAATCATCTCTCTAAAATGGAACATGTGGGATCCTAGATTGTGGTTCAACTCCGTAGATCCCGATTTGGTAAATACTTTTG